ATATTATCAGAGGATAAGTAATCTTAAATTAGAAAAGGTGGCTTTAAATCTTAACAAAAACCAAAAACACAAGAACCCCCCCCCCCAACATACATGCACATGCATCCCTTCTAATTGTATCTGGAGTTTATGCAGAGTCATAAAAATTTTACTGGTAATCTCTTTGATATTCTCCAGCCCAACAGTAACCATCCACTGTTTAGACACTCTAGATTATTATTCCCTAATGTTTTAAATCAAAAGAAACTAAGTCAGCACAATTTTTGTTGGTTTATTAGTTACTTTCAGCTGTAACACCCCACCTTTGATAATGGTTCCCTTTCGTTACTATACAAGAGTTCAATCACACCCATTTCTGGGGAAAAAAAAAAAATTAGTCACCATGTAAGGATACTATAGACCCATTTTTGCCTACATACGCAAACACCTGCTCCCACATCTACTCTTCTAAACCTAAGGATATACAATATGAGGACAGGAGATATGCGAGAAATTGGTAATGTCCCAAAAAGAAAGTTATCTTAAGGGAAACCTGGTCTAAGCAGAACTTTAAGCAAATTTGACTTCCACTGCAAGCACTGTCCCCAAATAAACATAGTGCACCCTAGAATCAAGTACACTCAAGGCTGGAATGTCACGTCAGTCATATATTACTTCAACCTCAATAAATCTCTTCTTACTCGTCAAATCCTAAGCTGCTTTCTAACATAGTTCACTAAAAAGCACCAACCTAATTAACAACAGCTTCCTCTGCAACAGTGGCCTTGATTTCACTTATTTACACATTAACTGCAGCCTCCTTTTGGCCAATCCAGTCTATTCTCTGTACCATGCCGAGCCTTTTATCTGCCCTGGACAGCATTTTCTCCAGCAGATGAAGTAGATGCCGATTGATTTGCTGTCGAGCATGGTAAATTAATAGCAACAAATTGCTGAGGGCCCGTCTCGCTGCTCCACCATGCTTCGGCAGTTTTGCTTTATTTGCTCCATGATGGGCAGCAGTCGGCCTCTTCAAGTCAATTTCTTCTTAACAACCTGCAGTACTTTTCAATGGTGAAAATAGAGCTGTTCCTTGTAAGTCAGAAATCAATATCCTATTGCCCTTAGAAAATGCTAAACAAGCAGTATTGGCAATCCACTTGGTACTAGAGGGTATCAGATATAATGCAAATCCATACTGCTTCCCTCCTTGTAGTTATTACAGTTTGCTAAAAGGTTCCTAATGTCATTTATCATCATTTACCATCGACCAAAGAGGCTACGATTATGATATCCTATCAGTTGGCAAGCCCCTTTCATTTCTATTCAATTAATATTTTAGCACCACTCAAATGGTTGGGGCCCAAGTCTCGTAATAAAATTTACATGGCTTGGAGTGAAACAGGAATTTTCCTGCTTTGATTAAAAATAACACACACATACACACACACACACACACATGCACATGCATATGAATATGCAAACAAATACACAGACATTTATACATAAATGTGCAGTACTCAGTTTTCGATTGTGTTAGATTTCTAAAATTTTCTAATTTTTAAAATTCAAATTCCAAACAATTTTTTAGTAGCAGAGGCCTTCACATTATAGAATATTAACTATGAGGAAGTCACAAGATGTTTCCATTCTTCCCTTTCCAAAACGTGATATGTTCATCTCCATTTACAGTTCCTGTAATATCTATTGTTCCTAATCTACATCCAATATTCACTCTTTAGCACAGTAACTACTGTTGTCAGATTCCATCAGGGAGGACTTCTTTAGAGACAGCATTTCAGGTGAAGGATGGGAACAAGCAGCATTTAGTAACGTTATCAACTGCATGCACCACCCTGTTCTGCCCAGGGTCACTGACACATTTAGAAGCCACACTGTATTTACAAAGGACAATCAGCCGGGAAAAAAAAAAAAAAAAGTAAACTGAACCCTGGGCCAACTGTCCCATCCAAAACAAAAAACAAAAACCCCGCACTTAGGAAAATCCTTAGGGAACAAAGACCAATGTTTTTCTTTTTAAAAATTCCATTTTGAAGGGCCAACTGTCCCATCCAAAACAAAAAACAAAAACCCCGCACTTAGGAAAATCCTTAGGGAATAAAGACCAATGTTTTTCTTTTTAAAAATTCCATTTTGAAAACATCACAACAATACATGTGCCATTTCTAACCACATCCTATTTGTCATCTTTGCTTTCATGCTAGAACTTAAGATAGTGGCGAAGTATTAATTCCCATTATAGCCTAGAAAACTCCCCCCTAGCTTTTCTGGTTTTTTCCAGCTACACCTGCTCAGCTCTATCAATCCAACTAAAGATTAGCAGAAATTAGATTCATATTTTATGCTCCAATTCCATGTCATGTCACCGAGCTCCCCTTTAAAGAAAAGCCACTAATTCTACCAGACTAATGCTATTTACTCAGTTACCAAAATTTAAATTAATTATGTTCTCAAACATAATTGTTAAAAATTGGCAACATTATGCAGGCTTAATTAAGATTAAATCCAATTTACTAAATGTACTTTAATTGGTACTAATTACATTAGCTTTCATTTCAGAATGACAAATTCCCCATAGGTTTCACTTTATAGTTCTCTATCAGAAACAAAACAGGGTGACTGATGATGAGCATCACACAGAAAGGGGAGGAGAAAGAATACCAACCCCCACCACATTTGTCATCGCTTCATACTGTTATCCTTTTATCAGTTTGCTAAGTCACAGAGTCATGACTCCATCACAACCATCATTTTCTGTTCCAATGAAAAATTTCTCTAAAAATAAATACTCTGTGGCTGGCATCAGCCAAGAAGAACAGGAGCATTAACCAAAAAATACACAAAGGTTTCAAATATCAGGGCCACCAATTACTAGGGTACTTCCAAGGACTCAGGGGACTCCTACTCTTGAACCCTTCGAGACACAAATCTAATAAGTGAATAAGCCTAACCCGATCTTGAGAACGAGGCCCAATTACGCCGCAGGGCAACTTCCCTGCGTTATTGCTGCTTTCCATTACAAGGGTATCCAGCGAATGCATCTGGAAGAGAGAGGCTAAGAGGAACTAAGGCTGTCTGCCTAGGAAAACAAATAAAGACAGATATGCCTCTGTGCTTAAGGGGGAGAAAGAAAGAAAATATAATAAGTAGGTGGTTTGCAGGGCTGTCTGAATTTCATAATGTGATAAACTGCCCTCAGGATTCTTGATATGATTGAATTTAAAAGCAAGAAGAAAAAAAAGGAGAATGTACTCTTCTCGGTTTTAAATGGATGGTGTTTGAGTCTAGCTGGACAAGAAGATGACAGAAGTATAGAGGTATAAAATGTGTAAAATTAAGGGATCTCAATACCCTCCCCCCAAAAGAAAAACATACAGCCGAATATCAGCTATGTGCTTTTCAGAAACGCAGATGGTACAAGGAGATCTGGGAACTAAGTAGTTAGGGTAAACAAGATACAGAAGAAGAAATAAAGGAACATTAATCATCTGGTCCAATTTTTAAAAAGACACTAATTAATCTTGGGAGAGTGGGATGAGGACAAAAACCAAAAAAGACATGTACAATATCCAGACCTAAAATGAAATGTAATGAGGATAATTAACAAACACTATCTCTTATGTAATTTATTCCTGTAAGGTAGAGCTTAAGAGAATCTATCCATAAGCTTGAATGGATTTTGTTTAAGCAGGAGATATCTACATTACATTTAAACAGAAATGGCAAATGTGCCAAAATAAAAATTTATTTTTAACGTGCAGCATTCAAACTATACTATAACAATAATATTGACATTACCAAATAGCATACAAAGTAAAACAGTATCTGAAATAAAAAGTGCTCAGTGTAAGTAATGTCTCATTTTTTCCCCAACTTTTTTTTCTTATTAATCAAATTCTATCCATCCGATTGCCTTTACTGTCTAACAGTCATCTTTTTAAGATATACTATCTGGGCATGTTCTGCGCATGTGGTGAATAACTAGAACCAAAAAGGAATCCACAAATAGCAAACGCCTAGTAATATGTGGTCATTTCATACCTTCTAAACTTACAAGGTAATGACGTCCACCTTGAACATGAATAAAAAATCAAAAGCATGAAGTTTTCCCTTGTCTTTTTCCCAGCAGGCAAGCATATGTGCACCTATTCTGAAATAGTTGATAAGACCTGAAGCACTTCCACTAGGAAATCACTAAAACTAAATGCTTACTAGAGGAATTATTATTGCCAAAAAAAAATATTATATAGATATTCTATCTTTCTGTCTAGGAAACTTAAGGCAAACCATTTTATTCAGTCTCCTACAAAAGAAAAGGTGGCTATTTGAGTCATGCCTCTCAATGCTTTCCAATTAATCATTATCTTTTTTCTTTTTATCTTGCTTAACTAATTGCCCGATTTCAAGACCCAGTGTTGAACCTTATCACATCCTCCTATCAGGCTCATTTACTCCGTACAAATTTTGGAAGTAACAGTTACAATACCTAGTAAGACCCAACTAACTAGCCTCAGGGGACCAATACAAGGATTTTACATCAATTTCTTTTGTAACTCCATGGATTTCATTTTGATCCTCCCTGCTCACCCTCTACCCATTCTTTCACACAAAGCCAACGAAAGTTCCATGCAATTTACAGTTTTACTTTTTAATATTTTCCAAGAAAAGCTTTTTCATAAGACAAGTTTGCAATGCCCGAAATACATAAACTCTTCCAAAAAACAAGACATTTTAAAATTTAGCATCCTGCTTTTGAAAGTGTACAAAGTTTAAGATGCTTTCAAACTTTTAAAATAACATTTTTAAATGATTAAAATTAGGATAATATGGAAGAAAGACGAAGAACTACATATGAAAAAATAGCATTCTCTCCATTACCCAGTCTTTTAAAATACAGGTAGTCACAACAATGTGTAAAATAAAATCCAAAACATAATCTTCTTTTCAAAGTGCACCAGTATACTGTCATTTAAAATGGTTATAAAGAAATAATAACTTACCTGCTTGTGCATTTCTATATTCAACCCATAGGACATTTCATAATACTGTCAAAGAAGGAAAAGCAATTAAATTTGTGCCCTTCATCAATCTCCCTAGTCTGTTCAAAATGCCCCAAGTATGTTTAAAACAATCAAGCATAAAAGACTCACCTAAACCAAAATATCCATAATATCTATGCCAGTAGATTGAGAGGGACACCCAATCACTACCTTTAGCCTGATAAACTAGAAGCCACCTTAAGACACAAACTCTAAGAGAGAATAACTTGGAAAACTAAGAAAAAAGTTCAAACACAGCATTCTTAACATCTCTAGTGTTTACATATCACAAGCAGATGAGTCAAAAACTTTGATGAAAATTTGGTACCATATGGATTCTAATTCCTAGGCGCAGTGGGCAAGTTAATGGCAAAAACGTTTCTTATACAAATGCTGATGGTTTGAAAGAAGACGATGCTGCTTAAGAGCTCAGTTTCTCGTTGTTATAGTACGGCTCATACTCACATATTAAAAGCAAAAAAGCTTGATAGAAAATGAATGAATGAGTTATTCTGGAGCCTTTCTGGACAATCAATCATAAAAATGTGCTTCATAATACTTCTGTACAAGCAGACCTGATTTTTTTCTGAACATGTAGTATAAGTGGCATTATAGAAATTCTGGCAGAACAAATCAGCTATACAGAAGACTACAACACTCCTCAAAGCAATATAACACCACAGAAACTGAAACATACACATCCACAAATATAAACAAAACAGTAACACAAAGAGTGGGGAAAAAATTTGAAAAGAGGTCTGGTGTCTTTTCTTATCCATCATTCTTTAAAAGAAATAAGACACATTAAAATTTTAACAGGACACAGAAAAACTGTCTGGTTAAAATTGAAGCAAGAGCAATAAAACAACAAAGAAAACCACTAACACAAAAACATTTTGCTTGTGACTAAACAAAACATAAATGAGGTTTCATTTTTTTTTTAATCTGTAAAAACAAAGCACATAAAATTACCCCATGCAGCTGAACTTTTTGAAAATTCAAATCAAAGCTGCTTGTCAAAGGCAAGTTTTAACATCCTAGAATTACAGGTTGCTAATGAACACATTCCCACAACGTCAACTACACTGGCAGCACGATTATGATCTATCCTGCAGCCTCCAGCAATTCGAACATATTCTTGCTTTTGGTATCCCAAACTAATTGGCACTTTGAATCTGTGACACAGTTTTCTTACCATGACATAATGCCGCTGCATCTCCGTCTTCTCACTGGCTAGTTTCTCGCATTCCAGTTTCAGACTATTGAAGACAAAAAAATAATCTAAGCACAGTGCAGAATTTAACTTAAATCCTTCAAATATAAATACACATTCATCACCTACACCGCCAAATCAACAATTTTAAAAACTATCCTTTTTAATGAAAGTGAGGGGAAAGAGAAAAGAGTGATCGGAATCAGCTTAGATTTGCCCCTAGAATAAGGATCAAATGTGAGGTTTACGGGGGTTTATTTATTTATTTTTTTAAAGTTTTGGGGAATAAACCCTCTAGTGAATTTAATTCTGGAACTTCATTCAGAAGTGAATATTCATTAAATTCACTTAATAAGAGAAGAGCGAAGTAAACACCAATAATAACTACACATCCAAGAACAAATAAGTCCCCCGAAATATCACAAGGGAGTTTTAATGTTGTACAAAGAGATTAATGAAAATACGAATCAAGCACGTCTTAAGGAATGATGTCTTGCTTTTTCCCCCCAAAACACACAGACAAGTTGAATACCACCACCCAGGGGCAAAGTGTCGTCGGGTTCAGTGGCTTGTTTTGGTTTTTGCATTTATGAAATAAGATTATGCATCATTAAAACCCCAGCAAAAGAAAAATGCTTCAAAGGCACTTTAAGTCTAATAATCGCCTCTAAGATGAAAACATATTTTTCACCATAAAAGTAATGAAATCGCTCATTCGCGACTTCCAAGGGCTCTCAGCTCTCCAGTGGAATGGCAGAAAGAAGTGAGAAAGAATCAGGCCCTAAGTAATGAAGAACCTTGAAAGTCAAACGGCCCCAGAACCTTCCCAACCTTCCATCCTCCTGGCCCCAATAAATCAATATCGAAAGTTTGGCCTCAGCGTTTTCCAAGCCTCCCCAGTTTCGATTGCTCTCCTTCCCTTTTTTTCATTTACGGAAGAAAGCAATGCTTAATTTCTTTACACCTGCCTCAAGAAAAAGAGGCTTTGGCTTGCCCTTTCTGCCCACAGGAAAAAAAGATAATAATACCTTTGTGGTGGCCTAAAAGAAAAAGGGAAGCTGGGTGTTTGTGTATGTTGGGGGGAGACAAGAGCTAAGCAAACAGGAGGATCAGCTAAAGTCAACATCGTTACCTGTGGTATTGAGCCTGCAAAAACTGAAACTCTTCCTTAATCCGATCACAGGATTCGGAAATTGTAAATTTAAAGGGTTGAGCAGGCTGATGCGGTGCCTAAGGAACAACAATAAAATATTTAATTAGCCCACATCACAGGCGAAGGCGGGAGACGGAGAAAACACAGCACGCGGCGCTGGCGGGGGGCTGGGGGTCACCGCGCGGGGAGGCCCAAAGCCATTAACACTCAACTCCCGTCCCCCTCTTCTCGCCCAACAGCCAGGGCCGATTTCGGAGGATCCTGGGCCCTCGCGCGCCCCGGACCCCGCGGGTTCAAGCTCCAGCTCCCCTCCCCGGCCCACGGCGAGCGCCCAGGGGCCGGCGCGCCGCGCCCACAGCGTCCCCA